ATCATCATTTATATAGAACATGAAAATATTCATAGTTCCAGCTTCAGTCACTTCATTATCCTCCCCATAGAGCCATAACACTTGTTGTAAACCCCTTTCTGTAGCTTCTCTTTGTACATATATAGTAGGGCCATAGTTGCTACCTACTTTATAGTTACCACAGCCACCTGGCCATGCTCTTGTGTACTGAGGATCTGCTAGTAAAGACAAACCTGCATCTGCTGTTTTTTTTGTAAAATAAGAACCCACGGGCGATAAAATGATATAGAGTAAAGCAGATTCTGAAGATGCAACGCCAAGTGTAGGCTATATAAATATACAAAGATAATCATTATTGTATATGTTAAAGTTTTTTATATTTTTTTTTATTAATAATTGAATGTTTTGACTGATATATTAAATTAGATACTTCTTATGTACAAATATCAATTATTTTTACTAAATTACTTCTTTAGTATTGAAATATTTCAAAATTATTAATATCAGTAAGTCATAACTATCACGTTTTCAACACGTTATTTGTTCATTTTTCATGTACATGTCTTCACTTGAATGAACTGTTCTGACAAAAATGTTGCATCATCCATGACTAACATATCAGTAAATTTACATATCAGTTCTAGCAGAACAATTTACGAAAAAGCATAAATTTTTTAAGTGATTAAATTTTACATAACATTAACATAATTAAAAGTACTGTCACATGCTGACTTTATTTATGATTCAAAGAAAATATAATGAGTAATGCCTTTCTACTCATCTTATAAGTATAAAAATAAAAGCATAAAGACATTTTATTAAATATTTTACATAAAATATTATGTAGAAGAACACAGATAAAATGTTTTGAATGTTGTATTTACATTCAATTATTCTTTACTTTTCATCATTATATAGTTCTTATTGCTCTCTACAGTGCAATACATGTGTCAGTCATAGTGTAGCTTTTGATCTAGCTGTATCTTATGGCCCTGCCCCAACAAAAGAGCATCACGCCCCTGTTTATCATGAATTATCATTAGGTATTGAGAAATGTATTGCTTACTTTGTATATATCTGTTTTTATGACATCTGTGACATAAGTGACATGATTACCGTTCGTATCGTACAAATGATTACAATTTATAGAACAAATGCATTTGTTTTAATTGCTGTCTATATTTAATGAAATGTTTCTTTTAAAATTTAAATACTTACATCTATTCCTATGAGTGTGGGACGTATGTACAGACTAGAAGCAATAGAATGGGGTACCCATTCTTGATCTATACTAATCAACCTAGAGCAACACTTAATTAATTCCTCCCCAATAAAAGTAGGTAGGCCAGTTCTTGATGCTGAAGTGTTCATTCGTTCCATGTTTAATTCTGGCCTAAATAATCTTATTTTTCCATCTATTCCTCTGTATGCTTTAAAACCTTCAAACAACTAAAATAAAAATGTGTATATGTACCACCTCAATGAGTACTAAGCATAAACTTTCTTATTTTATTAAGGCATTTACTTTCCTTTGCACAAAATGTTCAAATGAGTAGAAACTTTCCTGAACATGAACCACACATACCTCTACAGCATAGTGAAGTACTTTTGATGCCGGATGAAGAACTAGATTTTCAAATGGAGTAATCTCTGGTATTTGCCATCCCCCTAATGCTTCATGATAAAATATTTTTAACATATGATCCGTGAAATATTTGCCAAATGATAAAGCACTGACATCAGGCTTTGGCTGTAATTGTTCCAGTCCTGCAAGGCGGACTGATAGATCGGCATACTACAAACACAATACTTATCAGCTTTACTTAAAATACATATTCCAAGAAATTACTCAAGAATATCTCTGAAAAAAATATACCTTGAAGGAACGTTCTGGCTGTATTACTTTTTTATCTCTAATTTGCAGAGATGAACTCCATCTAACATTGGACTGAAGTTGATTTAAAATGTTGCCACAGAACAAAATCTACATGAAAAATTTTTGATTTAATGTTTTTGACATATGCAATATTTATATTAACGACATGTTTATTGTGAAATCAACGTACATAGGAAACGCTATAATCACATAATTACAATGCTACATAATTTCCAGTTTATGTGACGTTTATTGTGATAAATGATGGATTTACAAATGCTATGATACTGTCCAAATTCTTCATTCACGGAATGTGAAATTATTATTATCATTTTGAACACGTGACATAAATTATAGTAGAAATCTCGATACATATCGGTATTACGAAATATCTAATGACACACAACGTATTACATGACAAAACAAGGAAAGTTCATGCGATAATGTCTTAAAATTCGCATATAATCTATCACATGCATTACGATGAGTATGATAAATGATTATCAAATCTTTTAATGCAATTATTTTCAATCTTTTAATTTAGTTACTTAGAGAAGCAATAATAAAGTTAAGTCAGCGAGACGTGCTGACATATAGTTTCGCTAAACATTAAATTACTTGTTATAAATTAAAGAAACGCACACGACAGCCTAATCTTATCGAATTAAACATAACAGCTCGGTGTAATCTCTTATTTTGTTTTTTTAAGCTAAAATCGTTACTGTTCAAAATATTGATACTAGAAGCACGTGGCATTACATGCCTAAACGTCACGTTGAAATCTTCATGGTACACGATAATGCTGCAAAACTTGCAAAACTTTAATTCAACCAGTTAAAACAGTCGTCTTTTCAGTTTTTAAAATAAATCAATTTCTAAAAAATTAGAACTACTTTTTGCGATTAATTTTATTAGTAATTAAAACTAAGTATTTAACAAGTGATTACTAAAACAATTATGAGGTTGTACTACGTAACACAGTTTATAAAAAAAACATTGAAGCTTAAAATACACAAAATTTAATTAGAGTAGCACAATTTTAAAAGATTCTGATAAATTATTCTCTTACAATTAATAGTAACGTTTAAATTACGTAAACTATATTTTTCAATTTTTTTTTCGAATTTTAAAAAATATTAAAAAATGAAATGTACATTTTTTTAAACGTTCAAAGAGTTTTATAATCATATTTTTCGACAAATTTGCTATGTACGTAAGTACATTACATCATCACGGAAATGAGAAGATAATTGTGAAGATTCTGTGAAAAGTTCAGATCAAGTAAACAACTAAATCTGATACGATACGCAGAAGTTTTAGCATCAGAAATTCTGTTACCGCAAAGTTTAGTTAATATTATTACTTGTGTATTCCTAATATTCTTTTCTTTTTTTTTTTATATTGAATTTGTAAGATAGTTTTAAAACAAGAAACCAATTTACCTGACGTCGTAATTGAACCATTGTGATTGGACGATGAGTAACTGGGAAATATTTAATCCTTCGGAACAACCCTCAATGCACAAGGCTTTTTACACAGAAATGCAAACACACGAGTAAACACTTCTTAAACGAAATTTTTATAGCGACTTTTCTTATTGTTCTGTCTGAACACAGAGAAGGAGATTAAATATTAAAAAATACATATATATACATATATAACTGATAAAAACAAGTATTACGATCACAGGTGACTAAGGACATTCACAGTTAGAAGCTCAAGTATTAACTATGATTATACAAGTGAAACACTTGTACTCGCTTCCTTGCGCGTTCTCGAATAATGTCTTTGCATTAACCATCGGTTAATATTTTATTTATTAGCGGGCAAGAGAGGCAGAAGAAGAGCCGGCGTGAAAGAGAGAAGGAGGAGAGAAAGCAAGAAGCAAAGAATCCCCTTCCTCTCCATATTTTTAAACAAAGTAGTGGGGGAATTTGCCGATTTAATATGTATAATTTAATGTATATAGTGTCCAAGAAGTTTCTATTTAGTTTAATTGGATTAACGTAATCTGCGCTTGTTCTTAAATAGAAAATTAATCACGAATAAATAACTTACCTTTTCAATGATTTATAATGAAACAATTAATCAATTAAAAAGCAAAGAGGGTTGGTTATATGTACTTTTTCTTTTCTATATTTCTGTACCAAAGGAATGGTAAAGCAAGAATTTTTATTCTCGTCATAGGTATAATGTAACATTACTTTTCACAAATAATTATTAACTGTTTATTATCAATGTTAATTTATTCCTCGAGTGTATCTATACGATGACGAGGGTACTTGGCTTTAAGGTCACTCGGTACATGGAAAACGAAACCGATGAATGTTGTATGATTGGGAAAGGGGAGGAAAAATTCTGGCCGGGCACAATAAGCGGGGGCAGCGAATTAAAAACATGTTGATAATATGGTTTCTGCGCGATAAGAAAGGACAGCACGCGTGTGTTGTTATGAACATCGAACGTTTCTCGATTCTGAAATGTATAGAAGTATCGTAAATATTTATTACATGCATCAAATGGGGGATTACCCTACTTGTTTAATATTGTTACACCCTTGTACTTACGAATATATTTATCTACATTCACGATCTTTTTGTGCGCGAGATACGCGAAATGGAGCAACTTCAGTTTCATGAAATCGATCTCGTGACAGAGTTCAGACTCCCTGGTAAATCGATAAATATGTACATACGTTATACGAAATTTTTCAGTATTACTCATTCTCTTTTTTTTTTGTCGATACGAAAAATAAAATATAGAAGTTAATAAATCGTATCACGCACGTGACACCCGGATTAATTTACTAACATAAACACAAGGAAGATAGTTGTACGTAAGTAACACAATTACATACACCATGACGTTCCGATATAAATTATTTAAAATGCACTCTCTTGACATGAATCAAATGACGTCACTCGATTTCGCAGCTTTACTTCTCTACTTGTAATTTTAGTTTCAATATATGCGGTGTATATGTATTATCGAAACTAATTTAGAAATAATTGTAATCCAGGTTATTTTCTACCAAGAAAACCATTCAAATGGCTTGTAGATCATTTCTGCCAATGCTATAATTTATAAATCAATTATCATTACAACATTGGTAATGGTTTAATCGTTCTTTAAAACAAGTGGATTTGAATTTTCATTCTGTCGTGCGAGTATTCTTTAAATTGTGTTCTATTTTCATCTTTTACCCGATTGGAAAAGCAATCATAACCAATAACAGTTCATAACCAATCAGAGACGCATGGTAAAGGACTCGAGAGATTAAGTTAGCCCCAGATTACTCAGACGTGTATCGTGTTCAATGCAGGTTCTGGAACTGACTGTGAAAAATAATAACGCATATCTTTACGTCACTATTGCTACTTGCGCGCATTCTTGCATTTTTTATTCTTGCAATCAATACCTCCTGCATCATACACTGATAATGGGAGGACGGTGACAAAAATAAACATCTCGTTTCGTGATATGCATACATACACCCTTGCTGTATTCACCACTTCAGATATCCTCACATACGATAATACGTGAAACGTATGTATAGTATACGCTTCCAAATACATTATATTTACAAAAAAGACAAAATGGGATAAGATAATGGTTGGGAGGGGAGCCGGAGGAAGAAAAGCTCTCTTGGTAGAAGGGGAGCATGCAAACTTACGTCAGTGATACGTGCACGAATTTATTTAGAAATTGTAGAAATAAAGAAATGAAGAAATGAAAAAATTTTACTTAGCTACTAGTTTAATTATCCGGTATAAAATTGCACGGTCGATACAGTGTTAGAGATCATAAATGGATACTTCTTAATAAGATCATTAAAAAATTAACGATTAATATGAGAAATTCACAAATCGGTGGTGGGTCTATATTAATAAATGGGTTGAAATAATGACGATGTAAGATAATGATCTTTCATTTGAAAGCTTGTATTTCTAATCATAGCTAAACTTCCTCTGCACAAGTTAAATTACACAATGTCGATAATTTTTAAGTAAAAAGTAAAATAATCCTTTCTTATTAAAAAGAATATTAGAAAAGATGAACAATAAAAGATGATGGCATTTACAAGAAATTATAATACGTGAAAAATAATATTAATTTTAAATTTATAAATGTGAAGAATAATTTTGTATGTCATACGAATACAATATTACTTTTTAAGATAAGCCATTCTTAAAAATGTTTTGTTTATAACAGCGAGTAAGCATTATTATAAAAGTAATAGGATATAAATTGTCCCTATATTTAAACAAAAAAGATGTAAATATCTGCAATTGCGCTGCTTTAAAGATAATTTGTAATTTTGAACGTTATCTGATAGCTGATCTAATCAAATTTGATTTGGTAGATCATATTAGGGTGCGGCATTTTATTTCACTATGGTTGGCAGAACTTACTGTATCCTGGCTCCGTACGATCAAAATTGACTAATTAATTCATTTGAATTTATAGACATATATACTTACGTACAAGTCAATATTATAAATAATTTGTTATTCGACAATTTTAGATATCCATCTCGAAATAGATTTTGTGATATTATGTAGGGTATTTCCACTGAAAAAGTTTCTGTTTTAAACTGTACCGCCATTCTCTGAATGTAATGACGTTCGCACCAACACACCTTTAATCACGGTTGATGTCCTCCTGCCGATAGCCAGCGAGTCATGTTATGATGAGATAGGAATTTAAAAGTGACCGTTTCTTCTTCTCATTCTGTCTTCCTCGAAAAAAATTGCAATACGTCGCAACGAACACGGTAAAAGCGCAAAACTGCGCTCTAAAATGAGTCTTAACATATCAAAATTGTTTTCGCGAAAGAAAACCGGTACGGTTGACACGGTCGCTGAGATTGGTTTGCCTACGAACGTTTCTCATAAATTTCATGTGAGTAAAAATGCCAAGACAGGACAATTGGAGGGTCTTCCAGAGTCGTGGATCCGTTTGCTCAATACGCAAATATCGAAGTCGGAACAGGACGAACATCCTGCCGCGGCTTTGCAAGCTATTAAGTTTTACAATTATTCCATCAAACGAAAACCAGAAGAAAATGTATTTAAACCTTTCGTTACGGAAGATCTGATCGAGGAAGAGTCACAAGAAATTGATAAAATCTTGTCGAAGAAGTACCACTCTGAGGATTCAGATGAGTCAAGTTCTGCAAGCTCTACAGATAGTCAAGTACAGAGGTTACCAGAACTTCCACCAAAAGTGAACAAGATTCCAAAACCCACACCACGTATGTGCCCTGATAGAGTGGAGAAGACTCTTACTGAAATTCTTGAAGATTTAAACACATACCACATTGAAGATGATCAGTTGCCTGAAAATGAAAATGAACAGATTATGATAGATGAGAACTCTGTTTTACGAAGGAGAACAGAATGTTCAGGGATGAAACATAGTGAAAGTTTTGAAGAACTTCGAGCTATCTGTAATAAGGGTGATGCAAATTTACGCTTTGAAAGAACTAGAGAGGTTGGAGCTGGTGGTTCAGGTACGGTATTTATAGCCACTGATTCACAGACTAAACAAAAAGTTGCTATAAAAGACATAGATTTACAGAAGCAACCAAAGAAAGAACTTATATTAACAGAAATTAAAGTTCTCAGAGAATTTCAACATCCAAATCTGGTTAATTTTTTGGATGCATATCTTGTAAATGATCACCTTTGGGTTGTTATGGAATTATTACAAGGTGGACCACTTACTGATGTTGTTACAGAAACTGTAATGAAAGAGGTACAAATTGCTGCAGTTTGTAGAGAAGTTCTGAATGCAATTAGTTTTCTACATACAAGAGGAATTATTCATAGAGATATCAAGTCGGATAATGTGCTTCTTGGAATGAACGGTGCTGTGAAAGTTACAGATTTTGGTTTTTGTGCTAATATTATAGGTGATGAAAAACGCCAAACTATGGTTGGTACTCCATATTGGATGGCACCAGAAGTAGTGACTAGAAAACAATATGGCAAAAAAGTGGACATATGGTCTTTAGGTATTATGGCTATTGAAATGATAGAAGGTGAACCACCATATATGAAAGAATCACCATTAAGAGCTTTATATTTAATTGCTGCTATTGGCAAGCCTTCTGTACCTCGATGGGATACATTAAGTCCAATATTTCAGAATTTCTTAGAAAGATGTTTGGCAGTTGAAGTTGATGAAAGGGCAACTGCTGATGAATTATTGTGTCATTCATTTTTAGATAATTGTGCAGAATTAACAAGTCTTATACCACTGATAAGAACTGCACAGCGAGTTCTTCATAAAGTGTATAATTGAATCATTTTTTCTTTTCAATAGGAATCAAATATTTGTTTTTGTTTTAATGTGCATTTAGTTTCTTAAATATATGTATGACATTGCATTGATATTACATATATAATGCACAAATAATGTAAATGTGTTACCAAATTTTAAGTAGAGGTAGTATAAATTATAGTAATGGAGAAATTACTAGAGTATAATTTTTAAAAAGTAATTATTCATTGTAGTAATTTTATCATACAATATGCGCGATAGATTAAGTTCTGTTGCTTGAGTCATTGGAAAAGTTGTCATTAATGTAAGTTATTAATAATCATTTTGTGTGCAATATCTGTCTTGTAAGTTCAGCATCTCTTTTCATGTAATCTTATTCTTTTTTTATCAAGAAAGTGCAATCTGTCACATTATATTATCAGTTTTAGAACAAAATAGGTGCACAAACAATACAAATCAAAATCATTGTGCTAAAAGATACAGTTAGTAGTATTATATTAAACTAAGACTTTATTTTAAACTTGTTTGCATTTATCATATAAGGTAATAATGATTTATATAATGTTTCAGGGGTTTAACAGTAACTTATTTTATACTTGACAGTTATTACAATACTGTGGAAAATAATTATTCCAATTTAGCTACAGTACAAATTAAATATATAATTTTAACATAATACTTCTGCCAAATTGGATTTTTTGAATATACATTATGCATTTCATTTGTTTATCTATTACTTATATTTTCTTAACTGCATTCCTGTATCCTTTAGAATTGTATAATTTAGGGAATCAAGTTATGTCATACATTTTAAATCAATAATTCACATACAAAATGGGTATTGTACTAAATATTATTTAATATACAATTAATCATCATGTAATTAGACGAAGAAGACTGCTTCTTTGTAAGAAATTTTACAACCTCTTTTTGGGGGAATCGTTTTATAATAGTGAGAAGTTGAACCTTGTGGTTCAGTGTTATAAGCACTTGTATTACCAATCAAGTATTGTGAATGATGTGACATACCACATATTGCAGAATGCATTTTAAAAAAATATTAAGACTCTTAACTAGTTTTTATAACATTTTACCAAATTTTATAACATACATTTTTTTTTTTTTTGAGAAATTTTATATTTGTATTTTTAGAACATAATGCTATCCAAATCAAATACCAAATTTTAACATGTATTATGGTACTGTACGAGTACTATGAATTGTATATGTATATAACATTGTATTTGCAATATCTTTTAGAAAGAATATTTAAATTTATACAGTAATCAAATATTCGTAATTACTTAGTTTAGGGCCTGAGCAGTAATATCACAACTGTGATAACAAAAATTGAGTCCTGATATTGTATTTCTGTATTTAATATCATTGTATTTTTTTCCCATATATAATTAAATATTACTTAACTGTAATTTAATTTTACTTCAAGTTAGTGATGAATATTAGTGTAGAACCATACTGTATAGACATGATTGTTTTTTATATCTGTAACAATTTATGATGTACTATCAATATTTTAATCATTTAACTGTGTAACAATCAAATGTAAAATGTTTATGTTTATATTAGGATAATAATTCCAACATTTATTTAAAAAAGATTTAATGAAAAATTGATTAGACTTAGTCATCCATAACATTTGTGCCTTATCATAGCAGTACATATGGTTCTATGAGAATTGTACTTTTATCAGTGTTAAAACAGTATAAATGAGATAAACGTAATAACAATCTGTTATTAAATAAAAGTTGCATAAAAAAATTACAACATTTTAAACTGCTTTTTATATTGTACACAACAGTAAGGATGTATTATTTTTGAACAATGTATAAAAAAACTTCACACGTCCTTTTAACAATAAATACTTTATTTACAAGGTATGGTAACGATTTTATACAATTTTACTATCCCCAAAAATTTCTTAAACCACACTGAAGTACACCTAATCATATGTAATATTTTTAATACATAAATAAAATTTACAATACACATATTCATATTATATTTACACAAATGCTATATATATTATTTTAACATACAGAAAACAATGTAATTTTATGTTTTTCCTTTTTTTTAAAAAAAAAAGTTAAGTGTATTTATTCCATTGCATAAGAGAAATTACTACAGTGTGGTAATTATTTCATCAAAATAAGTATACAAATATAGGGCAGTTTTATATGAATTACCTAGTTACTTACAAGGAAGTAAATTACTGTATCGAAGAGTTTATAATTCGTTGAATAAATTCGTAACAGTAAACGTCATTTGCTAGTTTTTTCTTGGAACGACTAATTTGATCTTTTTTATATGTTTTATACAGAGAAATGAATTTTTTCAGTATATACACATTTAAATGTTATTTCCAATTACAAAGATCAGTAGCAATATGAAACATTCAATGATCTTTTTAGGTTTTAATGTTTCTTACATTTCCATCAAAACATTTTATACAAATATTAAAAATAAAAATATTGCCATTTAATTAATTATCACTAGAAATTTATATTGCAGTATCTAAGCATGTAAATAACACATTTTTTCTTTGGTTAAGATCTGAAGTTGCAAAATATTTTTTAATTTACACGAATCTAGCTTTGCATACATTGTTACATGGATTCTTGGGGAATTTGAAACCGAAATTACACATTTTTTAATTAAATGACGACTAATTGATAACTTAAATGATACTTCAGATCTAGTTTTTATAAAATTAGCAGGGAAAACTAAAATTTAAATTGAAACCTAAACCATTTTTTTTAATAAGCTTCTCGAGATGAAGGTATAATTAAAGGTCAGTCCTGCGCATACCTTAGTGCTCGTATTCTACCAGCGACAAGGAAATTTGGATTTTCCAATAGGGCTCTCAAAACAGCCAAAAAGTCCGCAGCTTGATCTTCATCGATTGCTCGTCTATCGTATGACAGGGTAGCCGACATTTTCGTTGTTTTCTGCAACGCAGCGTCTACAAATGCAATATATTAATATTTTCTACACTTTTATAATAGTTACATACGCTTTTCTGTATTTTTACCTAATTCATCTCGACCACCTCCAACTGCAAGTATGGCCGTTTGAGGAGGGTTTATAATGGCACAGAATTGCTTAATTCCAAACATTCCCAAATTGGATATTCTGAAAGATATACGAAACGATATGTAAAATACATTTTGTAATTTCGTACCTTTTTTACAAATCCATTTACTTACGTGAATGTACCGCCTTGGAATTCCTCTGGTTTTAAACCACCAGTTTTAGCTTTTTCTGCTAGTGCTTTAATATTGGTAGAAATGTCAGTCACACTTTTAGCCGCAGTATCGAACACGATCGGTGTAATAAGACCCGACTCTGTTGCAACTGCGATGGAAATATCAACTTTTGGCATACGGATTATCTGTTGAAAAATGTAAAACATATAAAATTCTGCTAATTAATTTAATTTCCAAGCTTCATCAATTATATCAAGTGTGTATACTAACTTGATCATTTTGATATAACGTATTGATAAATGGACATTCGACCAGTGCGTGTGCGGCTGCTTTCGTAATGAAGTCGTTTATCGAAACATTAATACCATCAGCTTTGAGTTCGCTACGAATTTCGTTTAATTTATCCATTTTAATATCGATGAAGGCGTAAGAATGCGGGATATTACTCTGAAAAATTATTACACATATTAGTATCCACAACTACAGTGTAAATGAACGAGTAATTTGTAATTACTTTCGATTCTCCAAGCCTTTTAGCAATAACTCCACGTATAGTGGAAACTGGAATATCTTCATAAGCAGAAGGACCACCAGTAGGTACATGTGCCTTTGAAGGAGCACCAGCCTTTTTGCCATCTCCAACCATAGGTGGAGGTGCTGTTTTATAGGATAAAAACATATATTTTAGTACATACAGTATTTTTAATATTTTTAATATTATAACCGCATACCTGTTTTTGGTGCAACTTTTTTAACATTATTTACTTGGATATAGGCTAAGACATCACTCTTTAGCAATCGATTAGGCCGTCCAGTACCTTTAATGG